GTCCTCACTCGCACTCTCTCACTTGCTCTCTTGTATTTTTTCTTTTTTAGCCTGGAATAAACATGGTGGAGTACCTCCATGAGGCCAAGGCATGCAAACCATACCCCCACAAATGCCAGGAGGAGAGTCTAAAATGGTAAAGTTTATTCAAAGTAGAATACTTGCTTGCAAGTAGAGCTAATGGCTCTTAATAGGAGACTGTTGGCCTGTTGAATGTTCAGCCATTTAATTCGGAATTGTTGTTTTGCTCTGAATGTTTTCCTACCTGAGTGATATGAACTGCACCAGTTCTGCTATATTGTTTAATATATTGTATTTTGTACATTTAACAATACAAAAACAAAACAACAATGGAATCTTTGAATTTTTTTATTTTATTACATTAATTCATATCGCTTCCATTGTTGTTTTGTTTTTGTATTTTTAAATGTTTATTGCATAATATATGCATAAATCTAGCATGTATTCTGTTATAGGTTTGTAGTTTAACAGTTTTATAGCTATGGGTAGTCTATTGCAATTTATTTTCTTAAATTGTACTGTAATGTGTTAGAATTAATCTGGCATATGGGTTCATTTCACCCAGCATTTGGGTACACTATATAATAATAATAATAATTCATTACATTTATATAGCGCTTTTCTAGGCACTCAAAGCGCTTTACATGGAAGAGGGAATCTCCTCAACCACCACCAATGTGCAGCATCCACTTGGATGATGCGACGGCAGCCATAGTGCGCCAGAACGCTCACCACACACCAGCTTACTGGTGGAGAGGAGACAGAGTGATGAAGCCAATCAGTGTATATATATATGGGGATGATTAGGAGGCCATGACGGACAGAGGCCACTGGGCAAATTTGGCCAGGATGCCGGGGTTACACCCCTACTCTTTCGAAAGACATCCTGGGATTTTTAATGACCACAGAGAGTCAGGACCTCGGTTTAACGTCTCATCCGAAGGACGGTGCTCTTTGATAGTATAGTGTCCCCGTCACTATACTGGGGCGTTAGGACCCACACAGACCACAGGGTGAGCGCCCCCTGCTGGCCTCACTAACACCTCTTCCAGCAGCAACCTGGTTTTCTCAGAAGGTCTCCCATCCATGTACTAACCAGGCTCAGCCCTGCTTAGCTTCAGTGGGCAACCAGTCTTGGGCTACAGGGTGATATGGCTGCTGGCCATATATAACAAATATGTAGTTGAATCAACCCAGAATTGTAATTAATTTGACCCAGCATGTGGGTACAACAAATATGTAGTTGAATCAACCCAGAATTGTATTTAATTTGACCCAGCATTTGGGTAAAATATTTAACTCATAATGTTGGGTTAAAAATGACCAACCCATCTTGCTGGGTCAAAATAACTACTGTTGGTCTGGTGCAATATTGATCCAGCGGTTGGGTTATAAAACAACCCAAGTTGTGTTATTTTTAACCCATCATTTTTAAGAGTGAACAGCAGTTTGCATCAATTCTGTAGAATGGCCCATGTAAGTCCGAGTTCCTTTATCCCACATTATAACATTATTACAGCACTAAAATAAGCAACAATTATTTCATCATTCTCTCCATTTACATTCAATTGTTCTACTGACCATATATAATAATTAAATATTTTAATAATTACAGGTCGACCGATAGTGGATTTTACCGATACAATAACTAGGTTTAACTGACTTTGCGATGACCGATTAATCAACCGATATTTAAAAATAGTGGATAAAACCATGACGGTGTGTGTAGTAGGGTGGCCATACGTCCGGATTTTGACCGGACAGTCCGGAGTTGCGCTGAATTGACCTAAAAAAATTAACTTATAAAAATCCTGCATATTGATTGCGGCTCCCTGTCAGGGACTCCCTGATGCCCTCAAATTAGTTAAAATCTCCCGGAATCTAGAGCGCGCGTGCGAGACGGAACATACTGCGCGCATAACATACATAGCGCGCGAACGGCAGAGAGGGAGAGAGCGAGAGACCTTGCGTGTGTGCGCATGTAAGACAGAGAGCATCCTGATTGGCCTGTTTCGGTAACTCAACCAGTCAACCCCCCTAATATCTCTAAAAATAAGATATTATGCCTTGTGCACTTTAAGTTGATTTTATATATTTTAATTTAATAAATTTTTTAAGACAAATAAACATAAGTTTTGTCTTTTTTGCTGATCCGAAAAATGATCCGATCCGTGATTCTGATCCGAGAAACAATCCGAACCGTGAGTTTTTTGATCCGTTGCACCCCTAAGATAAACATTACAATGACTCCAAAGCTGTTCGGTTAAGGTAAAAAAGTTACTTAGTTCACCTTTAAGTTATTTGTTAAGCAAGATTTCATGTTTATCTTATTATTGACCAAAATTCATGTAAAGTAAAAGTTAGTTCATCTCTATACACCTGATAGCAGCTGTAAAACAGGTATTTGTCACAGACACTGAGGATATTTTATTTCATCTTAATTGTAAACGACTCTTTAAATATAAATTGAAAAACATCTGGTGGCTTTTTTTGTTTAAAAAATATATTACTTAATCAGTGTTACAATATTTAACCCCTTTATTTCAGGTATACAGGTAAATTCTTTAAATAAAATGTCACACAAGTTTTGTTCCTTTTTAATTCTCATAGTCTAAAATGTACAGAGTTTCTGTGTGATTTCAATGCAAGAGAGTCTCTTTAATATGTTCTCAATGCTTCAGCCTCTAAACAGCTGGACAAAAAAAAAATCACGATATTGATTTGTTCATGATGTGGATGATGATTTCATGGACTAAATTTGCCATTAATTCACAAATTCTCATATGCACAATTAATGTAATTAATTTAACTCTTCAACATAGAACATTTTCCTGCATAAATTCACATTCTGGAGTGACGAATCACGCTTCTCTCTGTCAATCCGATGAACGAGTCTGGGTTTGGTGGTTGCCAGGAGAACGTTACTTGCATGACTGCATTGTGCCAAGTTTGGTGGAGGGGAAATTATGGTGTGGGGTTGTTTTTCAGGGGTTGGGCTTGGCCTCTTAGTTAGGAACTCTTAATGCTTCAGCATACTAAGACATTTTGGACAATTTCATGATCCCAACTTTGTGGGAACAGTTTCAGGATGTTCCTGTTCCAACATGACTGCGCACCAGTGCACAAAGCAAGGTCCATGAAGACATGGATGAGCGAGTTTGGTGTCGAGGAACTTGACTGTCCTGCACAGAGTCCTGACTTCAACCCGATAGAACAGCTTTGGGATTAATTAGAGCGGAGACTGCGAGCCAGACCTTCTCGTCCAACATGAGTGCCTGAGCTCACAAATGCGCTTCTAGAAGAATGGTCAAAAATTCCCATAAACACACTCCTAAACCTTGCGGAAAGCCTTCCCAGAAGAGTTGAAGCTGTTATAGTTGTTATAGTTACAATTCAAATGCAGGGATTGATCCCCTCATACGTACCAGCTAAGTACAGTCTTCTCTTATTAACCTCTACGTCCCAGTCAACCAGTTTACATAGCGACCCCTACAGGGTAACTACGATACTTCATATAACTTGCATATGACAATGTTTAACAGTGTAAAAGTCTAGGGGGGTTCATGAATATCAAATTATTTACTTGTGAATGTGAACTTTGCTCACTTAGGTAACTTTGGACAATGCTTTTTCTCATGAGTCCGTTGATGTGATAATTTGGTGAAACTCTTCCCACATGAAGAGCACTTGAACGGTCTCTCTCCAGTATGAATTCTCTCATGATTTTTCAAGGTTCCTGACATAGAGAAACTCTGTCCACAGTGTGAGCACTTGTACGGTTTCTCTCCGGTATGAACTCTCTCATGATCTTTCAAGGTTCCTGACTGAGTGAAACTCTTTCCACAGTGTGAGCACTTGTACGGTTTCTCTCCAGTATGAATTTTCTCATGATCTTTCAAGGTTCCTGACCGAGTGAAACTCTTTCCACAGTGTGAGCACTTGTGTGGTTTCTCTCCAGTATGAATTCTCTCATGAGCTTTCATGTCACCTGACAGAGCGAAACTCTGTCCACAGTGTGAGCACGTGTACGGTTTTTCTCCAGTATGAATCCTCTGGTGTGTTTTTAAGTCATTGGATCTAGAAAACTTCTTCCCACAGTCCAAGCACACATAAGGTTTCACACCAGTATGAATAATCTCATGCCGTTTTAAAAATTCGAGCAGTGAAAAACTCTTTCCACAAACAGAACACACATGAGGCTCCACATCTGCATGAATTTTCATGTGTCTTTTCAGCTGCTCTGCCAAAACAAATGTCTTTTCACACTGATCACAGCCGAATGATCTTTTTCCTGAGTGAATCAGCATGTGACTTTTGAGATTACATGCCCATGGGAAGCTCTTTCCACACTGATGGCATGTGAAGGGTTTCTCTCCGGTGTGGATTATCATGTGTGTCTTCAAGCCTGGTTTAGTTTTGAAGCTCTTTCCACACTGAGAGCAGGTGCAAGAACATTTCTTTCCTCTTCTTTGAAGTTTCTTCCTCTTCTTCACTTTCTGAAACTGATGGCGTTTCTCCTCCACTTCAATTTGTTCCATCAGACCTAAAATGAACATATTACATTTGACAATTCAAGATTGAAATAAAAGTTATGCCTAGTTTAATAGCAGTTATTAAAGGTGGGGTATGTGATTTTTTTTTTTTTTTTAAATCACTTGAAATCCTATTCCTAACCCACTTACAGCCATTGAGTTAGAAGCACTGAAATGAAAATTAAGCAATTTACTAATCTGTGAAACGGGCAGGACTCGAAAAACTCCAGCCAATCATTTCCAAGACCACCTAGAATCAATGGACAGAAAATGCGTCAATCAAACGGTCGTACCATCCCCCCCTCCCCCCATTCCCCTCGAGCGAGTCAGGGCCAGCGTTGGAGGAAAGAAGGTAGGACCTTTTGAGTTGTGTATTTTCAAAATCTGCCGGCCGTTTTGCAAATCACATACCCCACCTTTAATGAAGTATCAAGAATGGACACCAACCTATTTGTTCCTCTATATCTTCATCTTTTATTCTGCAGGGTTCTTCCTTAATCTCCATCTTTTGAGTGTTTTGTTGAGGTTTCTGAAACTGATGGATTTTCTCCTCCACTTCACGTTGTTCCATCAGACCTTAAATGAACATATTACATTAGACAATTCAAGACTGAAATAAAAGTAATCCATAGTTTAATAGCAGTTATTAATGAAGTATCAAGAATGGACACCAACCTATGTGTTCCTCTGTATCTTCATCTTTTATTCTGCAGGGTTCTTCCTTAATCTCCATCTTTACAATAGTATGTCCGTAGTTTCTCCTGGAGTAATTCCTCCTGCTTGCTTCTTCTCCTGTGGGAAGATGGGAATATTCTCCAGTATTTTAACATGTCAATAGCTGTGTGGTCATTTAACAGATGCTTAACATTTTTGCATACTAGACTAGCCATAAGCCTTGTTTACACTTTCGCCTGATACAGCTGACAGAAAACAAAGTTAAACGGTTGTGTAGTGTGTCATTACACTACACCCAAAAGGTTGCACCACTCCAAGAAGAAGGGTCGCCCACGCATAAATGCCTGCTGCGCCAGCAATCCTGAGAAAACCCAGCAGTTCATCAGCAGGCTGGAACACGCCCTCAGCGAGGGAGTGTCAGCAGATGACACCATCGACTCCAAGTGGCCCCGCCTCCGCGACGCGATTTACAACGCCGCCATCACCGCCTACGGGAAGAAGGAGCGGAAAAATGCCGACTGGTACGAGGCCCACTGGGAAGAAATGGAGCCCGTGACTGAGGCAAAGAGGAAAGCCCTTCTGGCCTACAAGGCCAATCCAAGCCCTAGTACCCTACAATCCCTCCGGACTGCCAGGAACAAAGCCCAGCAGACCGCCCGCCACTGCGCCAACACCTACTGGCTAAACCTCTGCAGCAGCATACAGAGAGCTGCCGAGACAGGAAACGCAAGAGGGATGTACGAGGGCATCAAGAAGGCAACAGGCCCAACCCCCTCCAAGACCGCCCCCCTCAAGTCCAAGACGGGCGAGGTCATCACCGACCAGGAAAAGCAGATGAAGCGATGGACGGAGCACTACCTCGAGCTATACGCGACGCTGAACGTGGTGACTGACACGGCTCTCAACGCCATCCCAGACCTACCAGTCATGGAGGAGCTAGATACCCCACCAACCATGGACGAGCTCAGCAAAGCCATCGACTGCCTTGCCTGCAGGAAGGCGCCAGGGAGCGATGGAATCCCTCCAGAGGTTCTAAAGAGCGGGAAACCAGCCCTGCTACAACCACTCCACGACCTCCTCTGTCTCTGCTGGGAACAGGGCTACATCCCCCAGGACATGCGAGACGCTAACATTGTCACCTTGTACAAGAACAAGGGAGACCGTAGTGACTGCAACAACTACCGGGGCATCTCCCTCCTCAGCATTGTAGGCAAAGTGTTCGCCCGCGTCGCTCTGGCCCGCCTGCAGACCCTCGCCTCCCGCGTCTACCCCGAGTCCCAGTGCGGCTTCAGGGATGGCCGATCAACAGTAGACATGATCTTCTCACTACGCCAGCTGCAGGAGAAGTGTCAGGAGCAGCACATGCCACTCTACATCGCCTTCATCGACCTCACAAAGGCGTTTGATCTGGTCAGCAGAAGCGGACTCTTCAGGTTGCTGCAGAAGATTGGTTGCCCCCCACACCTGCTTGCAGTGGTCACGTCCTTCCACGAGAATATGCACAGCACAGTATGCTACAACGGCGCAACATCCGAAGCCTTCCCAGTCAGCAGCGGAGTGAAACAAGGCTGCGTCCTCGCGCCCACACTATTTAGTATCTTCTTCTCCATGCTCCTCCAATACGCCTTCAAAGACTGCAGCGAGGGTGTCTACATCCGCACCAGGTCGGACGGCAAGCTCTACAACATAGCCCGTCTCCGTGCCAAGACCAAAGTCACAGGGGTACTCATCCGTGAGATGCTCTTCGCTGATGACGCAGCCTTGACCTCACACACGGCAGACGGACTTCAGCAGCTTGTCAACCGCCTCTCACACGCCTGCAAGGAGTTTGGATTGACCATCAGCCTGAAGAAGACCAACGTCATGATGCAGGGAGCAGAGACCCCTCCAAACACCGCCATCGATGGGTACAGCCTGGACGTTGTTGAGAACTTCACGTACCTTGGGTCCACGATCTCCAGCTCGCTATCCATCGACTCTGAGATCAACAGCAGAATCGCCAAGGCAGCCGCAGTCATGGCCAAGTTGAATCAGCGAGTGTGGAACAACTCCAGCCTCACTGAGACGACCAGACTGCGCGTGTACCAAGCCTGCGTGCTCAGTACGCTCCTCTATGGCAGCGAGTCATGGACCACCTACGCAAAGCACGAGAAGAAACTCAACAGCTTCCACATGCGGTGCCTGCGTCGCATACTGCATATCAAGTGGCAGGACAAGATCCCCAACACCGAGGTGCTGGAACGAGCCAACATGAGCAGTATGCATGCAACGCTCAGCGAAAGACGGCTGCGGTGGTTTGGGCATGTCAGGAGGATGGACGCAGGCCGCATCCCCAAAGACCTCCTCTACGGCGAGCTGGCTGAAGGCACCAGAACCACAGGGCGCCCCAAATTGCGCTTCAAAGACGTCTGCAAAAAGGACTTGAAGCAATGCGGCATTGCCCCCAGCGCATGGGAGAGCCTGGCTGATGATCGCTCCGCTTGGCGACAAGCAGTCCGGCAGGCAACAATCAAAGCAGAAGCGGCACGAAACGACACTGCCGTGGCAAAGAAGGCTAGGCGGAAGCAGCGGCAACAGCAGCCTGACCAGCCATCCCCCTTCTCCTGCGCCCAGTGCGGCAAGGACTGCCACTCTAGAATTGGTCTGCACAGCCATTCCCGGCGGTGCAGATAGACACACCGAGCTACACCATCGTCTCCCGAGACGGACGGCTGCCGACGAGTGTGTCATTCCTGGGATTCAGTGCCTTTTGTGTCCGTAGCATAGATCATGATCTTACGGCCTTAAAATGTTGAACAATATATATTTTAAAGCTGTCTCAGCATTCACGTCACGTCTTTTGCACGTTCAAACAGTGGCAGTACTCACTCGCTCGTTTTTTCCAGGCGCATGCGTCTTCACCGCGGAGAGATGAAAAAATCTCAACTAATCAGAATACCGCAAGAGCACCCCAGGTCATGTGACAAAAACTGAGCTTCACCCTTTCCGTAACACTGAAAGTTGATGATCATAAGCCTGTGTGTTCCAATTTCATGAGTAATACCTCACTTACTATACATTTTTTTTTTCCTTCCTTCTTTTACATTGTTGGGTATATCAGTAATGATTATATTTCAAGATTAATGATTATGATTATCTCTAATTTATATATTTTCTTCAATTATTAAATTTATTTTAACAATTATAATAAAGGTTTTTTGCATGTCCCTCAATTTATTGTCCACACTGTTATTTTTGATTACTTTCCCTTTAAATGAAAGTTGGAAAAATTGTATTAAATGACACATCATAAAGGAGTCATCACTTCTTTGGAGGAAAAACAAATTGGGTTATTTTAATTGTCTATTTTTACCAATTTAATCTTTCAAATTTAATGTGGATAAAGTTAGTAGAAAAGTCATATTTAAAAAATTACAGTCTTAACCCTTTCCTGCATTGAGGTCACTACAGTGGACACGGACAGCTATTCAAAAAGCAATTTCTTTCATGGGTTTTGATTACATAGTTGTACATTAGGGGTGCTCCGATCAGGATTTTTGGGGCCGATCACCGATCCCCGATTACTGGAAGCTGTATCACCCGATACCGATCACCGATTACAGGGTCTATTTGAAGCCTTCTATTTATCATGTAGCATTATTTATTCAACTATATTTAACATCATTGTACATTAAGTATTACAATTAAGAGAATACAACGTATCATGAATTGACACCTGTGTATTTATTTGCAAGCAACATGTCCAGCATATTAACTTACCAGCCTGTGCTTGGTTATTGGGAACAGCTTAGGGCTTGACAAATACAACTTTCCTGTAGAATATAAAATAGACAGAACATTTGATTCATTCTTTAAATTTAGCTTTAGACTACTTTAAACTAAAAACTACAACAAAAAAGGCTATAGCCAAAATAATGTTTTGAGTCAGTCAGCCATCAGTTTTTCTAATACACTTAAAGGACCACAGGTAGTAAAGTGCACAGCAGAAAAAACACACAAAAAAACAACAAATACAAATACTTCTTAAGCATCAATATTTTGGTCTTTTTTTTCTTTTCTTTTTTGCGAGAACCCTTGCACAATTATTTTAAACAGATTAAGAAAGCCACCACTACTGGTCACATCTATGGTTAGATTGATTTGTTTAGATCCAGTGAAGTCGTGTCTCACCACTGTTTCTAAGGATTGATATTGTCCCACCAATTTTTGTAACACTGAGGCACGCACGGATGTACCTAATACAAATAAATAAAACATCTCCAGTTAACTAGCAGAGCATTCATTTAGTTCGCTATTAAATAAGAGATCTAGCGCTAAAATGTGTTGTTTTTAACTCAAGCTGAGCGCTCGTTGCCGCGGCGATCAGTTGCATGGATACAGTGTTCTCTGTGGCTCGCGGCCTCGCGCAATCTTCACTCAGACGCGCGCTTCAATCTATCACCGTTGTGGAGGAGACTCTCTATTCATTCCGGTGAAATCACAAAATAAAATGCATGCACAGAAACGTGTCCCTGCTTGACGGATTAGAACCCGTAACCCGGCATAAAAAATGGTCTCGCGAGTTTTGCGTCATCTGATCGGCTTTTCTTGATCGGCCTTTATAGAGACTGCCGATCACACATCCCAAAGCAATTATCGGCCGATTATGATCGGCGACCGATCAATCGGAGCACCCTTATTGTACATCAACCTCTACAGTGGACCCTAGTGCATCATCCTATGCATTAGCCGCTTTCCGATCAAGTAGTTACAGGAACTTAGTTATAGGAACTAGGGTTGTGCGATGTCTACCAATTTGGCATCAGACGATGTGTACAGTGAAACATCGCGACGGACGATGATATCGGGAGGAGGGGCGGGGCTAACATTCTAATTTTTCACTTAAGCAATAAGCCCCGCAA